CCCCCCCCCCTTGCTCACTAGGTTGCAAGCAAATGTATAAGCTCTGAAAGAGTAGTGCAGACAAAGGTCAAAGAAACAGAGAAAGTAGTTTAGCATATGGGTTGAAAAGATGAAAGTTTTTTGTCTAAAATAACTATAATAAACATTTCTTCTGTACGAAATAGTCTCATTTTAGTTTATTTGTTACTGCATATAGAATAATGCAAAGCCTTATGAGGGATAAATAAGCAGATGACCAAAGAGCAAATAGCTACACTGTTTGACCTTTTTTACTATGTTCCTCTTTACTAAACCTGCAGATATCAAGGACACAAAGAAAACACTTAAAAAGTATGTTTCAGGTTAAAACAACAGAAAAGCTTTCTGGGTATTTTCATAATTTATCAAATTCCTAAGTGGAAAGACAGGTGTACTTTTAAAAGGGGGGATAAAGTGTTTCTTATTAGCATTGCCTATTACAGTACAGGAGACAGCGGATTGAAAAACCAGATGTTGCTTTGCTGTTTAGCTTCCACTTGACTTCAGCCTGCTACCTATGACAACCAACAAGACACAGACCTTTAATCATTCAGCAATAAAGAATATGGTACGATTGCTGCTTTGTGTTTTCTTAATAAAACACTGATCTAAGAATCATAAATGCTTTACTAGACAAAGGGATGCAGGCATAGGATATTATTTAATGGCAAATATAATAAAACATACCAATATTACTTAGAGAGGTCTTGTTTAAAGAACATGTGCATAAAAGCTTTATACTCTCTGTTCAAGATACATACATTGTTTGACTGGAAACCTTTTTTAACAAATATGACCAGATACTGACATTTTAATGAGTGAAACTTTAATGAAGAATGTTATTTCCCCCAAAAAGTAACAGGGTCAGTTTTCCCAAAAGTGAAATATTTATTTTTTGCTGGATAATAGACAATTATACCACCAATTATTCGGGTGCTTAACTGGCAAGATTTCTAGATTTGAGTTCATAGGTCTGCACACCCACTAACGCCATTATGAGGGATCCAAATCTACCAATTAGATTTTCCTTTGGAACAGAAGATCCTGGCACATGTGAAGATTAGTGGGAACACCCAAAACTCCCATAGAGAATGGGGAACTATGGTAGTGGGATCTTGCTGTAGGAGTATACAAGACAGAGAGGTAAGAAGGGAGTGTCTAAGTCCACCAGGTTCCATATACTGTATTTGTAAAATATCAATATTGGCCTACACTGACCCTAAAATGTTAGCAAACTAACTGGTCATAGGAAAGGCTCTCATCAAATATAACTAGCATTGTATGTGGGACTGCAGTGAATGTTAGCCCTGTTAATTGTGAAGCCAAACACTGAGGTTTAATCCAAACAAAAATAGCTCATATTGTCAATGAAATCCAGCTCACATCTGCATTCTGCTTTTCTACCCTTCACCGCCGACTGCGAGTAACTGTCTACATTCAAAAGAGCAGATAGTTGTGGATGGTACCATGATGGCATTCACTATGGGGCAGAGAAACCATCCTGTTTTTGTGGTTTCATGTACGGTCCCTGATGATGTGTGACTGTTTAACAGAGGAGAGCTTACTTCACTATAGGAAATTAAACTACATAAGCAGCTTACTTTGCTAAAGGGAATTCAACTTGCCTTCTGTACTAAAAATGCTGTCACCATATCACAGCCCACACACTGACATCCTAGGCTGCCTGTGGTTCTAAACAGTGCAGTCAAAAAAGAAGGCTTAGCAAGGTGTTTATTGTTAAAAAAAAAAAAACACAGTCTTACTGTCTGCAATCCCTGACAAAGACTACATTACAAAACTGCTTATTTAGGGATATTGTCATACATTAGGTGAAGTTGTTAAAACTTGAAAAGACCTTTTACATGCCTATTAGCTTTCATCAGTAAAAGCTATCATTTGAGGTTTACAAATACATGTGACTACATTGTTCTATGCCAAAGGTTAAAGAAGAACTCCAGTCTGAACAAAAACTATAGTTTCTAATAGAGCTGTTTCGAACCAAGCAACAATGTTGCCCTGAGTTTTAAGGCTGGAAAGACTGGTAATTTACTGATCAGACTAAAGAACCCCTATTTTAGATTACGGCCAGTCAATCTGACAACTATAACATGCTGAGATAGAAAAGCAACTTATTGAAGATGCCCAAATGTGTACGCAGACAGGCTTAACGACACCACTTACGGCAAGTCATTTGTTGTTTTAGCTAAAATTGTATTGGGGCTGTTTTATGTGGTCAGTCTATATGCAAGTAGCACTTAGTGTTCTTCTTTATAATAATCACCTTCCTCCAGCAATTTGTTAAAAATAAGTTGAATCTTGAAACCTCAGCTGTAGACATCTCATTTTTCACTAGTGATTATATAGTACGACATGCTTACTGGAAAGATTTCATAAAATTTACATAATAACAATTTGAGGCAACACAAAAACTGCTATATATTGATATCTTAAAAACAGCAACTACCAACTAAAGTGCCACATTATAATTATCTAATTTTCTATGCTCATGCCACGTTGCTGCAAACCAACATTTTAAAATATATAAGAAAGCCACATAATGTGACACTGCTAAGAATAAAGTTACAGTAATTGGAAATAGAATGCTCAGAATTTTGTTTTGGTTGCCTTTTTTAGTTCAGTGCTCAAAGAATGTGATGCAGAAGAAGAGGAAAATCAGATAAAAGTCAAGGAGACATAATATTGATCCTTGCTGTCTGGTGGTCTAAAATGAACATATATTGATTTAAATATTTGAGACACTTACAGGAGGGCCACGGGGTCCTATGACAGACATGCCCGGTTCTCCTGGAGCGCCCTGCAGAAAGACAGTAGATAGAAAGGAAAAGAATGAGAAAAATATAGAGATAGAGGAAAGTCACAAAAGGCAAGGAGGATTCAGAAGGATAGTGTATGAAATATTATTTAAAACGGGTACAAGGAGTAATACCCTACTTAGAACAGCTATCAGGTTTTCATTGCTGTCACCCTCTCTATATGTCCTGGTGACCATTGTCAGTGGAACAAAGAGTGATGGAGAATCCTATGTTTTACAGTTGTCACCAGAACAGGAAGTGAGGGAACATTTACCAACAGGAGAAAAGCAGGGGTCACTGGCACTCCAGTATGCTGAACAATACGCCTATATCATACTGATACTGAGCATGGCCAATAAAGGCGTATTGATCAGCATACTGGAGTGCCAGTGACCTCTTCTTTTCTGATATAGAGTGGCGTCATCTGTTCGTCACTGCAGCACCCACCTATTCCAAAAGGCACTTACCGGTCAGGAGTGCAATGGGACTTGGACATGAATCTGACATTTACCAATAGGGACATCTGTTCTAGCGATATCTGTCTAAGAGCGGATTTCCCCTCGCCATAGCGAGATTTACTCTCATTGCCAATAGAGATTTCTTCTAAGTAGGCTATACACAGTGCAAGTTTGTTACGGTTGATGAACCGGCCATAATTCGCACAGTGGGAGCCCCTGTCAGCACCCTTCCACCTGGCATCCCTCAAGCAGCTGATTGAAGGCGCAAACTGGAAAATGCTCAACTGAACAGAGCTTGCAGCCAATCAGAGCTTGCAGCCAATCAGAGCTTGCAGCCTAGTAAGCGTTGATCGAGGAATCTGTTATATTTTCTTTATACAGCACAAGGTTGAACAAAGAAAATGTAGCCCGCGTATACCCAGCTTTACTTTCTGCTATGTCTTCTGGACAGCAAGTGAAGGGAAATCTAGCCAGAAGAACACACAGAGCCAAAAATTAAATAAAAAAAGGCAACCCTTAACTACCCAAAAAAAAAGTGGTTTTATAAAAAAGGCTTTGGAATACATTTGATTGTAATTTTAAGGTCAGTGGAATGATCAAAGAAAGTAGTAGAGTTATTTTCACTTCAGAGATCCAATCATGTGCAAGAAAAAGTCCTATAATAAAGAAGTAGAGCTATGTTCACTTCAGTGATCCAATCATGTGGAAGAAAAAGTCCTGCTTTTTTTGCATATCAGTGAACATTCATAGTGAACACAGCTTAAACTAATTTATCAAGTTCAGTTGCTACTCCTTTAATTAATCAATCCCAGAGGATTAAGCTTCCAAGGTGATGCCAAACATGCTGTAAAAATGAATATCCATTTGAGTGAAAAATGTTCTGCACAGTTAGCTTTCATATCGGCATAACAACTGGCAGTAATAGGAACGCACCAGCTGTGTATCAAAAAGTGAATTAACATGCTGAGTGAATATGATATGCTTTTTCCTTTCCAGGTTATCAGTTCACCCTTGTGTACATCCAACTTAATTGTGGCCCTAGACTTACCAATTCTATACTGCCTCCATCGACGCTGCTTCCATCTTTTTCCAGGTTTGGTGTCTTTAGCCATCTTGATTGGCCAGGCCAGGATAACTTAACGCCCCAGCACAGAATCATGTTAAGACTGTACACTGAGCTACGCAAACACACATGATTCAGTGTACATGCAGAAAAAAATGCTGACAGGCAGGGAGAAGCTTTCATGACAGAGGAGACCTACAGAAGAGGCATTCTGCTTTAAATTGATCTGATAAATTTGAGTGTTTTAAGCGATACAAAATATGTAACACAAATTCACATAAAAGTTTGAAAAGTTGAATTCTAACATATGTCTGCCTGAAAACGTGTACTCTACAAAAACATTTTTGCTAATTGTTGCCAACCACCAGGCTAAGGTAAGGTGACACATTTTTTTAAAAATAAAATCCAGAGACATTTTTAAATGTTCCCCGGGAACATAAAATAAAACCTTTTTTTTTTTATAATACTACTCACCTGATTCCTGGATCCAACAAGCGCAGCCTCCCGTCTCCCACGCTGTTAGAAGTTGCATACAGCGTGTGCTGGTTACTACTTAAACCGGCGCACACAGTGTGCAGCATCTGAGACGATACGCTATTAGCGTAGCGGGAGTGATGCAAAATGCGCAGCCGCCTTCCCCGCTATGCTAGTAGCATATCTTCTCAGAAGCTGCACAATGCACGTGCCAGTTTAAGTAGTAACCAGCACACGCTGTATGCAACTTCTAACAGCATGGGAGACTGGAGGCCGCGCTTGTTGGTGGATCCAGGAATCAGGTGAGTATTAGAAGAAAAAAAGTTTTATTTTATGTTCTATTCTTAGTTCTATAATGGCATTGTAGTATTTTCAGGTGGAATACAGCTTCATAACATATCAGCTAGGGAACTACAAGTCCCAGCATGCCCTCATTGCCCCTGTACAACAACCAGATATTGCCGTTCCCTGGGTGATATGTGTGTGTGGGAGGCGGGGGTGTACAGGGACAATGATGGCATGCTTGGACTTGTAGTTCCTTAGCTGATATATATGTGTGTGGGGTACAGTTCTAGTGGATGTTTATATAATAAGGGGGGGGTGGCGAAAAAAATGTTCTGCCGCGGGTGCCCATAACTCTGGTTACGCCACTGGTCTGTATAACACACAAGTGGCAATGTTTCAAGGTGACATCAGGGAACATTTTTATAAAAGATAAGATGCAGTATTTTAGAGGTAGAAAAAAAACCTCATTTTATTGTGGCATACTACTACCATGATAACCTGATCAGTCCACATGGATCATAAGACGTCCAAACAAGACTTTTTATGGAGGTGCTTGTATTTTAACTGCAGAAACTTAGCAGCATCAGACATCTGGATACAATAGTTAAAGTGAACCTGGGCTCCATTTTAAACTTTTAAAAGTAAAAGTCCTGTCTAAGAACATCCTCCATAAAATGTCTGCTATTAGTTTTATTAGTTAGAAATGTTTTTTACATGCTACTGTCTGATTTAGTTTTACTTTGTTACTGGAGCCTGACTAGCCCTGACTTCATGGCTAAGTTCCACCAACTATAGCCCCCCTGTCCAATAACAATACCCTTACTGGCAACTGAAGCAGTCTCACTGGACAGTGGAATGGCAATTGGGAGTGTCATTGGACAGTGAAATGGCAGTTGGCAGTCTCATTGGACAGTGAAATGGCAGTTGGCAGTCTCATTGGACAGTGAAATGGCAGTTGGCAGTCTCATTGGACAGTGAAATGGCAGTTGGCAGTCTCATTGATCAGTGAAATGGCAGTTGGTAGTCTCATTGGACAGTGAAATGGCCGTTATCAGTCTCATTGGACAGTGAAATGCATTTGGCAGTCTCATTGGACAGTGTAATGGCAGTAAGGGCCTGTTCACATGAGATCAGGTCCTGATCAGGTCCTGATCAGGTGCGGATCTGCAGACTGATGCAGTGCGTTTTTGCCACGTTTCGGCCGCGTTTTTGGATGCGTTTGCGTTTCCGGACCGGACAAAATGTGACATGCAGTATTTTTTCTGTCGTAAGCTGAACGGACTGCGCACGTGAGAACTGGAGCCCATAAAACACATAGGGATACATTGGGATGCATTTTGAGTGCAGCAGCGTACGGAGCCGGTCAGCACACAAAACGGACGTCATGTGAACAGGCCCTAAGGCAGAGAGTAGCACATGAGAAACATTTCTAACTTATTAAAGTAATAGCAGGCATTTTATAGAGTTTACTTTCAGACAGGACTTTTATTTTTAAAATGCTTATTCTATCTACACAGTGGGGGGAATTCTTAAAAACTGGAGCAGACAAAATCTGGAGCAGTTGTCCATACTAACCAACCAGTGTCTCTGTAACATAACACCAACTATATGGGGAGTAATAACCAAATATGCTGCAAACAAGCAGCATTTCAAGGTACAAGGCACTACATATGGGGCTGAAAAGCTCTGTCGCTTTGTGATCTGGTAGTAAAGACCTTTTTGCCAACTACTGATACCCTGCTGTTTAGAATAAACCTGTCCTCAGGGACAATTAAATTAAGAAGCCTTATCATCAATAGCAGGACTCATAAGGTGCCTTAACATACCTTTGGCTTAAGCCACAGTTTGGCTTATCTAATGGTTCTGCACTGAACCCCTAGAGGCATCAAGCATATGTTACATGCAAATATGTTTCTCCAAGTCCAGCCAAAATGTTTTATGTAATTGTGGATAGGTTGGAGAAGGGTTAGAGCATCTGTCATGCCTTTTTTGATGTCTGTAGCTACACTGCCCTCACTTCCCAGGACAGTAAATAGAGACAAAGACAAATAGATTGGAGGAAGGTTAGAAAGTATCACAATGCTTTTTGTTGTGCTACTTCATGTTCCAGTGACAACCATACCCTTCATTTCTTGTACAGACATTAAGGGGCCATAGAGCAAGGGAAACAATTTCAATGGGGCCACATTTAGACAAGACTTTTAATTCTTCTCTAACCAAACTAAAAACATGGCTGGAATTAGACGTTAGGGCCACTTTTAGGGAAAAAAAATCAGTATTTCAATAAATAGGCCTTGGATTAAAGGATATGAGGTAAGCTGGTGTTCTGATTACTCAAAACGCAGCTATAAACAGGCACCATTCCATGGTGTTACCAATTATGTTATCTAAAAGACACGTTCACTTTACAGTTGTTTAGTAAATCATGAGAAAACACTGCAACTCTCAGACCAGCCTGTGTATTCAGAACCATTACCAGATCAATAACCAAGAAGAACTTACTTCCATCCTGCCAATGTAAAACACAATAGGGTCCAGCATGTGCTATAGCATTTATCTGCATATCAATGCAACAAGCTGTGGAACATTTATGATGCACCTCCTGAAATGTCAATATGATTGGGTGAAAATGCTGAACTAGTACAGAATACAGATAATTTCATAGGCCCTGTGGCAACATGTGCACAGTGTGGACTATCGCAGTCAATCAGAACATCTGACA